TGCTTGGACAAAAATTTAAGCAATACAATGAGCCTCAATAAGGCTATCACAAGCATGCAAAGAAGTGCACAATTAAAATACAAGAGTTCTAAGAATTGCTCACAAAGGTCTTTAAGAAACTTCAAATTCCAATGTTTAGCTATAAGCTCCAATAATTGCTTCAAGTTCCAAAGTTTGCCTTTCTTGTAGTCAAGTACCTAATTGACAAATAATATCAACAGTAAGAAAAGAATATACAATGGAAAAATAAAAATAGAAGCCATCAAATGAACACTATTGTCTAGTCTAATTCCAACAAAACTGTTAATCCTCGGCAGCGGCGCCAAAATTTAACGAGCCCCTTTCTATGTGTTTAGAAAACGAATTTTGTAATGCGAGAGGTCGCTTCGCAAGGTCAAAGTATAAATGTGGTTTCAGAAGCCTTTCTAGTCAAATTACATTTATAAAAATCACTACTAAAACTAATAAAGCATAGTGAGTAGGAATCATCTGCAAGGATTATACGTGTTGGAATTTAATTGCGACTCTAATGTACCAATTGATTGCAAAGAGAGAGATTGGTTGATTAAACTAAGATGTAAGGAAATGAAAATGTAATTAGAATAAACTAAGTTGAGTTAGGGATTTAACAGATGAGAAGTGAGGTCTTGGGGTGCATTAAATCGCTATCAAGCTCGTTCACCAAACCACACACTTTTAACTAATTTGGAAAAAAACAATCTTGTGAACAAAATGTGACAACCAATTGTGATATTAAGCATGAACCATCAAATTAAAGAATGAATAGTCTACCTAACTGACAAATAAACTATGTGTAACATAACCCATCAATTCTAAGCATAACTCATCAAAGTAGTCAACAATTGTAGCACACATTAATCTAGAGAATCATGAAATTTGCAATAATAAGTTATGGAATATCAATATAAGTAGAGATTGTCAACCTACCTGCAAGCATGAATTAAATTGTAGAACAACCTATCAAGTATAAGCATAATCCATCAAATTAATTGACAAACTCATCTAATAAAAACCGTATCTAGCCATCACTAGATTCTCAATCAACCACACATAGACATGCAATTAATATAGAGAAACTAGTATAGCGATCAATTTTCAAATAATCACACATAAGACAACATGTAATCACATAAAGAATCAATATAAAGAATTAATCCATAGAAATCAAAGGAGAACCCAAGATTCATTAAATTCATAAGGCTAAAACACTAATCACAATATATTATTCCCCAACAAGTATGAAAGAGATAGTGGTTTAGATTACAAACTTGGGGCTTGGATCATGGAATCCTCAAGGGCAATCTCCAAATATGGCTCCATTTTCTTCCTCTTCTTCTTTGTTGAATTCTAGAGAGAAAAAGTGTGTGAATCTTGAGATGTGTTCTTGGTGCCTCCACTCTTCTCTTTTCTTCTAACCCTAATCTCTAACTTTTCTAGAGAGAGAAAATAAAAATTATAATGACATAAAATTGAAGACAAAAGATTTTTTACAAAATGGTTCAATTCCCTTTAAATACAAGGTCCTTGGAGTAGTGAACAAGTTAGGAAATAAGCCTTTAAAATATCTAATCCCACAACTATATGGTAGGTAGAGTTTGGGCGGGCGGGAATAAAACAACTCACTGTCAGCGTATTTTCGATCGATCGAAAAAATCTCGATCCATCCAAAAATTTAGCATTTTTGACATTTTTTCCGGATTTTTCTGAAATCTTCTCGGAACTTTTACTTGACTCCAAAAAGGCTGTAATGGGCCATTTTTAGCCTTTTTGAACCTTATTGACCTAAAATAGACAAAAACACAAATAAGTACTAAAACGGGAAAATAAAGATAGATGAATGGACTAAAATACCCTAACTTAAGTGCTAAAATGCGTCACATTTGAGCACTTATCAGTATATATGTGAGAAATGACTACAACGCCCTTCAATGCAAATGGTAAAACTGGGAGAAATTCCTGAGCCCGGAAATCATCCCGACTTCTGAAAAATTCTAAAAATGACCCCATCGATTCTAATTGGCTTAAAATAAATAAAAATGCATTTATAAAACCCTCGGCTCAAGAAAATGGCTTAAACGGCCTTCAGGGACCACGTGGCACGCAAAACGATACACGAAAAGTAAATAAAAATTCAAAAAAAATCTAAAAAAATTCAGGGCATTACAGGTCTATTGAGTGCTATAAGGCACAACTTATAGCCAGAGGATACACAAAGAAGCCTAATTAATTAATTTCTCTAGAAATCAAAGTTGTCCAAAAATTCTCAAAATAACATATGTGAAAGTATGTGGCATGCACATCAAGAATATGTGAAAGTATTTGGGACTTTTTTAGATTGATGTTAAAAATGCATTTCTTAATGGTGATTTACATGAAGAAGTTTACATGCAGTCTCCTTCAAGTTATTATCATCCTCCTAATAAGGTGTGTCGACTTAGACGTGCTTTATGTAGCCTCAAACAGACACTTCGAGCTTGGTTTGCCTAATTCAGTCTGATTATTTCTTGTCTTGGATATTCCGCTAGCTATTATGACTCAACTTTATTCATCTGACGCACAGATTGGGGTATCATTCTTCTTTTACTTTATGTTGATGATATGATCATCACTGGAGATGATTTGATTGGAATTTAGGAGCTCCAATAGTTTTTCAGTCGTTAGTTCGATATAAAGGATTTTAGACCTCTTAGTTATTTTCTTGGTCTTGAGATCATGATAATTATAGATGGTTCCTACTTCACTTAGGCAAAATAAATATCAGATCTTTTTTCGAAAGCATGCTTAAGTGACAAGAAGATTGTTGATACACCACTTGAGCACAACATAACACTTAATCTACATGATGGCGAATCTCCTCGGGATTATACATTGTAACGACAATTGGTTGGTAGTCTAGATTATCTCACGGTCACCCATCTAGACATCTATTATGATGTCCATATAGTTAGTCAGTTAATGGCTGCCCCTAGATTTACTCATTTTCTTGTAATTATTCGCACCCTTTGCTATTTCAAAGGCACTATGTGTTCATGGGCTTTATTTTTCTCCTCATTCGTCACTTGTTCTTCATGCCTATTCAGATGCCGACTGGGCGGGAGACCCTATAGATTGTTGTTCCACCACAAGCTATTATTTCTTTTTTTTGTGATTCACTTATCTCTTGGCGCAACAAGAAACAGAATGTGGTTGCTCGATCTAGCACATAAGCTGAGTATAGGGCACTTGCTGATACTATTTTTAAGCTTATGTGGTTGCATTGACTCCTTCAGGATATAAGAGTTTTTTCATCCGCTGCCACTCCTATCTATTGTTAGAAGAGGAATGCAATCCAAATTACCAAGTGGATGGTTCAGAACCTCTCTACCATTCTGATTAACTATCAAGTGTTCTCACCAATTCAATAGTTCAAATCACAAGACAATTTCATTCATGCCCATGTCTCTGAAACCGTAGAAGATTTTTTTTCCTGGTTTGCATTAGATTGGATTACTATTTTATTGCACAATCAGTAGAAACAAATAAAATCTAGTAATTTAGCTTCCAACTGAAATCAACTTATTTCCAATAAATTATACATCTGATGAATGTAAAATGTGTTGTATCAACAATTCATCTGATTGCTAACTAGTACTTTTTTCAACCTTTTCGCTGACAGTATGGAAAGAATTCTTGAGCGGTACGACAGGTACTCGTATGCAGAAAGGCAGCTTGTAGCAACCGGTAATGAATCACAGGTATGCACTGTTCTACCCCGAGCCACTGTCATCTTAATTCTTGAGGAATTCCTTCGTTTTGGGTGGACGCGGAGTCTTTGGAGATTTGTGATGGGCTTTACGAAGTCTCGATGATAAAGATAGCTAAAAATAGAGGATGTGGCAAAATGTGATGCCTACACTACTTCTAAGATAGTATATTAGAATTATACTAATTAATAGTATAATACTAAATGATATGTAATTTACAACTTATACTACCTATAGGATACTATTTAAATAGTATATTACTAAATGACATGTAACTTACAACTTATACTAGCTAGTTAAAAGATACTACTATTTAACTACTCATTAACACAATAGTATACTACTAGTTAGGATTAAAGTATAACATTTCATAGTTTATTTCTAAATGTTAATCATTCGACTTATATTACAAGGTGGGCTTGTAAGGTAAAGTTTGGGCCGGACTTTCACATAAAGGCCCGAAACAAAGGTGGGCCAAGTCACAACATATTAAAATGAAAATTTCAAAAAAAGAGTTGTGTTGGGCTGGTTCTTTGACAAATTGGGAGAAGAAAAAATGGCTTTTTGGCGAGTTGGGATGGGCGGATCAAGTCCAAGCCCACTCAGCCCCCTCTTGAGACCTGTCCGGGCCTAGCAGAAGTTTGGCTGGGTCAAGCTACCCTTCGGGCCTCGGGCTTTCTTGCACCCTGAAGTAAATATAGGTTCAATAGTATAGGATAGTTCACAATATATATATATATATATATATAAATATATTTCAATAATTTTTATTTATTTATTAGTATTAATTTTTATTTTTGCAATTAACCTAACAATTTTGGAAATTTATTTAGAGAGAGGGAGTAGTAATTTTGAGAAGTACAACCTCAACAAATTTAGGTAATATTCAATCTACAAGGAGGAGAAAGAAAAAGTTATAACTGGACTATAAAAGGTTTCACCTAATAACAAAAACGAAAAGACCTTCCGTCAACACACTCCAATTAAAACCAAACAAACACCCCGTTAAAAGCGCACAATCCCGTACACCTTTGACACGTATTGTACGCAGTAAACGGCGCCGTTTACAATAAAACCACTACGGACTTGCAATACCACACACACCATACACCGAATAAAATCTCCGAGTCGACCAATCAGAATTCGACAACGTTTTTGACCAAACTACCCCGGTTTTGAAATACCAGACAAAACCCAAATCTGATCACGTAAAGCCGGTTTTCAAACTACCCAACATGGTGAATAAATATATATATAGATACCTGTATACACCACTATATTTCTCATTAAAACACTCCCATTTCTCCCACAAAAATAAATAGAGTCTTTTCAAGTCTTCCTCCACATGCTTAGTAACACAAAGAAGATAACAAATACAGCTAGTCCTCTCGATAAATATATGTATAGTTTTTACTGAATTGTTGGATTGTGTTTGGAGGCCAAGAAAGCGAAGGAAAAATGGGAAGAGGTAGGGTTCAGCTAAAGAGGATCGAGAACAAAATCAATCGGCAGGTGACCTTCTCGAAGCGACGGTCCGGATTGCTCAAGAAAGCTCATGAGATCTCGGTGCTATGCGACGCCGAGGTTGCGTTGATTGTCTTCTCCACCAAAGGGAAGCTATTCGAGTACGCTACAGATGCCTGGTAAGATCTTCATCTCCCTCGATATATATCTATATATATATATATATACACGGTTTTATATATTATTAATTTCACAACTTCTTTCATCTAATTTTGAGCAATTATTTTCAATTTTTTATTCTGAATCCGAAATAGCTAGTTCTTGTTTTCTGTCCCTATATGTGTTTGTGTGTGTTTTCTATTTCCAGTTCTTGATGATTGATCTATGAGTGTTTGAACACACTGTAATATATATTTTGCTGTTAATATATATATATATATATATATTACTTTTTGTGCTGACATGTATATTATATTAATAAAATAATCACTGTAATGCAAAATAATCATTGTAATATTTCTGAGTGGCTTTTAATCTCTGATTTCATGCACTGCTTGTTATCTTTGTACATAAGACTCATGAACAAATATAGATATAGGATAATATATGTAGACGTACATATATAAGCATCTATTATTATTACACACACATATATCCACTGAACTCTATCTCTATGTACTTTAATGTCAGGTGAAGTCATTTCACACTAATTTTTCCAGAAAAAAATAAATAAAAAAAATAGTCATTAAGGCTCTGGGTTTTTCTGAGTCACTGTTAAAGTATAGCACAAACTGTTATAGGAGAACTAGAAATAGTCCTCTACACATAGAGCACTCAGATCCTCTCCAGAGGTCCGATAATTTAAAGTTATTTTTAAAATGCAACACCGTTACGTCGAGACACAATGCATGTAGCGCTGTAGCGCTGTAACAGTAAGAACGTAAATTTTTGCTGCATGTAATAGTAGAATCGACACAATGCATGTAACACTATAACATCAAAAACGTACATTCTCAATGTAATGGTATTATCATCGATTTTATCTCGATATAATGGTGTTGCTTTTTGATTTAAGGTTCTAGGCGGCTCGAATTGAGGTCATGATGCATAAAAAGGAAGGACACTCATTTATACATAGAATATTAATATATTATATTTCTCCTTTTAATTGGGTGAATTCATAAACATTATATTTCTTGTCACTATGGTAAAGGTTAACTTCCAGCTACTGATAGCACTGTCTCCAATCAGAAACCAACAGATATATTTAATTTAATTTAATTAAATTTTATTTTATTTTATTTTTTATTTATTTATTTATTTTTTTTTTCACATTAGATTAATACACGAATTTGCAGATTTCATTGAAATACTAAATATGTGTTCTAAATGTTAAATTGGTGTGTTTTGTGCAATGTGCATTAGGCCATTTATTGGAGCCTCCTACCATATTTTGGTACCTACATGAATTTTGACACCCTCAGAACTCTAGTCTAATTTTATTTTATTCATCAAAAACTAGAAAAGAAATTATTTTTGTTAATGCAAATGGTATTAGATTATGTCCCTCTACTTGATATTAAATAGTCATATATAGTTTGCTGTTAGAGAAGTTTTACAATACCCGGGGTATGGTACCCCGGCATGTCTCGGCAATTAAGTCATTTATTAGGTGGGTCCCACCACCACATCAATAATTAAGGGCCTAGAGGGTATGATACTCCGGGATAATGTAGAATTTTTTGTGTTGGAGATTGAAAATTAATTCTACACGGGCTAATTGAAAAATATTAAAATTCCAAACTCAACTATTCAGAAGGAAACAATTGTACAAGTTTTTGGCAACTTGTATTCCACTTGTATTATTTTCTTCAAAACGTACAACATATTTATATTTTCACATGTTTTTTTAAGAATCGTCTATCTAGATTTTACTAGGACTTATATTAATAAATAGAAAAATGATTCTTGTACGTTGAAGTGAATTGCTAAATATGGTTTTTTAATTAGTTAATTATGCAACAAATAAAGAAGTGGAGCCTTCTCCTTAGTTGTATTTGGTATAAATAACCAAATAAAAATTATTCTATTAGACAATTCACTACAGTGTTCCGTGTGAATATTAGTACTCTAATAAATATGTCTAGCTTTCTCTTTTAATTTTAGAATTTTTATAATAGTGAATCACAAACCGACTAATTCAAAAAACTATAAATAAAAGCCATAAATAATTAGAAAACTGTCAAAATTTTGAAAACCTTACCAAAACTGCCTAGTATCAAATCCAAAACAAGCTTCAATCTGCTCATAAATGATAGAAAAAATGTCATATGAATATAGCTTTTAGTTTATTTTTAAATTAGCTAATTGGACATTATTTATTTTATTTTATACTTTAATAGCATTACTTTTCTTTTTTTCTTTTTTTCTTTTTTTCCTCCCTCTCTCTCTAGTAAGATAATTGGCTAATGTCGTAATAACATTACTTTTATTAAAAATTCCTAATTTCCTACCGTCAAACTTTTAATATCAATATTTTTTTTAGTTTTTAATTATAAGTTAATCACAACCCAAAGCTATTTGTCGTGTAGGGGATTCCAACCTTAAACATTTTCAATTAGGATGATGAGACACCGCTACTAATTGTATATCATATCAAAGTTCCATCTGCAGAGACTCATAGTACATAAATTTTAGTCAAACTCTTATCCTTTGACCAATTTTGACCCCTTCAATAAAGGCAACATGATAATACAATCAAGAAGCAAGTGCTTATATGTCATTAGCTCCAATTTCATCCTATTGGTTTTCGTTGTGTAGCCGACTCTTCCTAACCAACAGATTAACCAAAAGAGTTCCTATCGGAGAACAGTCCCACACTTTATATTGGCCAATAGAAAGATGGAAGTGTTACCTGTTCTAATATCCTTTTGTCAAACTGATCATCACGTCGTACGATTTTTTGTATTATATTTTGTTGTGGATATATATATATCAGTTAAATTATATGCTATTGAGAATGTGTAGGTGTAGATATTTGTAAGTAAAGAACAATAAACAAATTCATGATACAAAAAAGATTCAACACGTGTAACGAATCTCTTTGTTATTGCTCAGTTATATTATATGCATTATATTGAGAATGTGTAGGTGTAGATATTTGTAAGCAGAGAAAACTAAACAAATTCATACAAAAAGAGATTCAACTGGTGTAACGAATCTCTTGTTATTGCTTATAGTGATCCTATTTGAACCTTTTTCCCCTCAATATCTGAATATTTATATAAGAGGATTTAACTTGATTTCCGCTTATTTAATCTCTAATGCTTTGTTTAGTTAGAGGGATGGAAAAATGGATAGAAAGGAAGAGACCGGATGCATGAGACATCCTAATAAAGGGAGAGAAGGTGTCACCTTCACTTTTTGTTTAGTTCGATGGTGTGATACTTCTTATTTTTTTTGGGAGCTCCTTACCTCCTCCCTCTTTTTTCTTCCTTCCAATCAAATATGAAAAAGTTATTTTTATCTCCCCTCTTAACCATCACTCCTCAATCATTCCCTCCAACCAAACAAAACATAATTTCAGGGATTGGAGCCAATCCCCCTTCCAGAGAGGTAACTGGACTGATTTGATTATCCCAATTTGATTACTAGTTGTCCTATGGGATTTCCATTTGTCATTGGACTGATTTGGCATTTATACAAGAGGATTCAACTTGATTCTGCCTATTCAATCTCTAATTTTCAGGGATTTAGGGACCTAACTGGGTCATGTTTATCCCAATTTGATTTCTTGTTGATTCTGTGCAATTTCCATTTATCATTGGATTGATTTGGGGGTCAATCGACTCCCTGGCCCATTCGGCTAGTCATGTGTGTCGTCCAAGTTGACATTACTATGGCCGCCTGTTGTTCTACCGTTTGATACTGCCTTGTACAGATGTCACATCTTTATTGGTGAGAGATTTTCCTCTGCGGTATGCAATATCGTTACTTTGAAAATTCAACTTAAAGATAAATGTGTTGCATTCTTGAAATAATGTCATTGTAATGTTACATTTTGATATAAATGTTTTGCACAAGACCAAAGGCCTTGTGGTATGGTGGTATTTACTCGCCTTCAAAAGTGAAGGTTGATGGTTTAAGTTCCCGTAGGAACAGAAATGAGTGTGAGTATGTTCTTGCCAATAAATAAAAAATAAAAAATACATTGGAAAAAGTTTTAACTTCGCAAAAGATAGAAAATGAGTTTTTAGCATAATTATTGGTTGTTAAAATCTTTATTATACGGACTTTTTAAAAGTAGTGGAGTACATGTGTTGGACACATATTACTCATACATGGGTATGAGATATGTGTTCGATACTTTTGGTTGGACATTTACTTAAAAAGTATATACAATCATTCAATTTTATTATATTATTACTTTAAAATGAATTAAATGCCTATATTGAACACTTTGTTGTATAAAAATATTAATTTATTCTAGAAATAAAACAACATAATTAAATTAAAAGAGTAGTGAGAATATATAATAAAACTTCTATTATAAGAGAAAATAACACATCATAATTTTGGTAAATTGCAAGAAAATCTTCTGTTATAAATATCTCATTGTGTTTAAGAAAAACCCTACATTTTTCAAATTGAGCAAATAAGGACATTTTGTTCATTTGAAGATTAAAATATTTAAAATGCCTCTAAGACAAAATAAAATTAAAAAAATACTGATTTCATAAAAATATTAATTATAAAGGGTATCTTAGGGTTCTAATAAAAAAATTGTCGAAATTGACAGTAAGAGACGACTTGAACATATTTTCAAATGTTAAGAATTTATATACACAAATTTTTTATTTTATTATTATTATTATTATTATTTTAACACATTACCCTTTAAGTTATGTTTCCATGTTATTAAAATTTTTGGAAATTTGTATGATTGTATATATGTGGTCAGTTTTTATAAATTAGTGTGTGTGTGTCTAGATATATATATATATATAACCTCGAAGTAGAAGGAATAGTGTCAAGAGTTTTAAACCTTTTTGAAAATATCTTCCTATCAACTTCGATTGAGACGTTGGAGCGACTAATCTTATTCCAATGGCAATCAATCAATTATTTGATTGATCAGCTTTCGTGTCCTCATCTAATTAGGGTTTGAGTTCCTAACACATCAATGCATCATCATCCATTCTAAAATGTACTCCGCGTTTGGAAACACTAGCATACGAACACCTGGTTGGACTTGAGGGCACAAATTTAAAAAGTAGAAATCACGCGTTTTAAAAAGTTCGAAATTTGAGTAGACCATTTTACCATTGGGCAGATGTAACTCAACTAATTTATGTCCGATAATAGTTTTCTTTCTTTCTATATTGGACAATCCTAGTAAGTGAAGATGTACATTATCTTGGTTGATGTAGGCCAATAAAAAATAAGTATGATCTCTTTACTTATCAAATGTGGGATGCATATTCATTTACCAAATCAAATATGGTGATTTGATTACCATTTTTGATTTGGTAATTAAAATAGGACGGGTCTATTTATTGTTGATCCATGTACATTCTCAACGATAAGAATCTAACTATTACCCATTTCTATTTAAGGATGTCCCATAGTATTTCATCTGACAAAGCAAAACAAAACTATTTTTCTATAATTATCTTCTTGTTGAAACCTAGGTAAAAATTTACTTTGCTTAAACAAATAGAATCAACAAGGGAAACTCAAATGCTCAAATGATAATTTGATATTCTGGAAGTAGAGAAAAACAAAAGGTTATTATATTTAGACCAAGAATTATCCAGAATGTGTGATATAATCTTAACTCAATCTCATAGTTGAGAACTACTTGATAAATTTAATCCCTTTGATTTTAGTGGATACCTAGACCTAGTATTGATCAAGCTATGCAAAAACTAGAACATCTATAGTGATTGGTTACTTGGTTTATGCATTTGTTGTAATGCTATGGTTAGGAGTAGCGAATCAGTGACTATAATTTATAATTAAAAGAAATTTAGTTAAAATGTTGAATTAAATTTTATTCAATTCCAAATTCAAAGCACGAATTCGGTACTATTAAAAACTCAACTTTGAATTTGAAAGAAGTTGAGATACCAGTGGACTATGTACCTTATATTCAATACCCAAGTGCTTGGTTCTTCTAATGTATAAGGGGGATAAGCTGAGTTAAAAGGGATCTTAATGGACTAATGACATAGATTTATTGGAGTGTTATTTAGGGGATATATATATATATTTTCAAATAACCTGGGTGTCTGGGGCTTTGCCTTGACTAATTCACGGGATTCATGCAAGGTGTCCCCACATAGATCGGATAAAGCTCAAATTATGTCCGCGAGCGTGGTCCTTAAGGAATTAGTTGCACATAGGAAGAATCGATCCTAATGCCTGATGCTCCACGAGACCACCGTGCCCAAATTTTTTCTAAGTAGGCCAACCCCTTGGGTTTAGGACACATTTATAAATGTGTTATTTTACATTTCTTTCAAGAGAATGACTTTGACTCTGTTTCTCTCTTGAAACAAGATATTAACATGGTAGTAGCCACACTGGCTTTGTAAACTACCTAACCAAGAGGAAAGCTTCTTTAAAAATATGTCCATTGAATCATATCAAATGGATGGTTCAGAACCTCTCTACCATTCTGATTAACTGTCAAGTGTTCTCACCAATTCGATAGTTCAAATCACAAGACAATTTCATTTATGCCCATGTCTCTGAAACCGTAGAAGATATTATTTTATTTTATTATTTTATTTATTTTTTTTTCTCTTCTGGTTTGCATTAGATTGAATTACTATTTTATTGCATAATCAGTAGAAACAAATAAAATATAGTATTTTAGCTTCCAACTGAAATCAACTTATTTCCAATAAATTATACATCTGATGAATGTAAAATGTGTTTGTATCAAATTTGACAGCAAAAACTCTCTGTTTTGTGCCTGAATTTGGCTACAATTCATCTTGATTGCTAACTAGTAATTTTTTTTCGCTGACAGTATGGAAAGAATTCTTGAGCGGTATGACAGGTACTCGTATGCAGAAAGGCAGCTTGTAGCAAATGGTAATGAATCACAGGTATGCACTGTTCTACCCCGAGCCACTGTCATCTTAATTCTTGAGGAATTCTAGTATTCGTCGAAATATGATTGATATTATTATCCAGGGAAGCTGGACTCTGGAATACGCAAAGCTCAAGGCTCGGCTGGAGGTTCTACAAAAAAACCAAAGGTAATAACCGAAATTAATGTGATTATCAGAAGGAATTGAGATGAATCATGCTTCGTTGTTGGTGTTTGCAGTCATTTTATGGGAGAAGATCTAGATACTTTGAGTCTAAAAGAGCTTCAGAATTTGGAGCACCAGCTTGATAGTGCTCTTAAGCACGTTCGGTCAAGAAAGGTGAAATCGGCTACGAGTTTAAAAGTCTTGTGCAGTTTTTGTTTTATGGAAGATGCAAATGACTGAACTCAGACTCTTTTGTTTACAGAACCAACTAATGCAAGAATCCATTTCGGAGCTGCAAAAAAAGGTGAGACTTTCATTCTACCTATTTTGCACCAAATGTTAAGATGAGGATCCCCTTTATTATATATATATATTAAAGGGGAATTGGAGGCAAGGAGTCTTGGCCCATTGACATTTGGTGGACCAATTCAATTTAGACCGTTGAGATTTTTTTTTGTAATTTGAACCCTCTTGCTGCGTTTCTATTAGCGGTCGATCCCTAGAAAAAAAAATCACTTATAAATAGTATGGATATGTTTGGTTTGTAACTCAAAAAACGTGACAGTTTTCTGTTTTCAGATAACTGAAAATTAGAAAACTATATAAAGAATGTTTAGTTCAGTTTTCTTAAAAGTTGGTTATAAAAATGCCTATTTTTAAAAAACTATTTTTTGTAGTTTTTTGAAAATAATTTTACGAATTCTTGAGAACAGTTTTGGCTCTTTGATAGTTCTCGGAAACAAAGTTGTAGACTTCTAGCTTGTGATGTAGCATTAAGCATCACCTAATTTGAAGGTAAAAAAAAAAAAACACAGAATTTTAGCCTTAAAACTGCTGCCTTACTCTGTTATTTCCTCTCTAAATTGTGTTTTGTGACAGGATAAGGCATTGCAGGAGGAAAACAACTTGCTGGCAAAGAAGGTGATATAGCACATTTCAATCTAAACCATAGTCTCTAACCTCTGATCATCCTGAAAAAGAAGTTACATATATATGATGTATCTAATATTTTAAGCCAATATAGGTGAAGGAGAAAGAGAAGGAACTGGCACAACAACCCCAATTGATGGAACAAGACCATGGACAGAACTCAACCTCAGTTGTTCAATCACTGCCATTGCACTCCTTAAGCATTGGGTCTCTCTCTTTTTCTATGTGTGTGTGACATTCATTTTATACATTGCCATAATATACACTAATGCTATGTTCGGTTGCATGACCTTTGAAGTCAATTTTCTCCGATTTAAATTTCAAGGCACCAATTTCATATAACTGAACATAGCATAATACTTGTTGCCATATATATTAGAGTACTAACTCGGATAAATATATGTGATGCAGTGGAGCTTACCAGGGAGGAGGGAATGGGGGAGAAGTAGAAGAAGAAGAAGTTCCATGTCAACAACAACAAAGTAATACCGTCATGCCTCCATGGATGCTTCGCCACATTAATGGCTAAAACTGAGGACACTATGCGAATGCTGCACAAATTTTTGATGTCAAACAAATCAAGAAACATGTATATGTGGTAAAAGACATATATATATATATATATATATATATAATAGTATAATAAATGATGTCGAAAAGTATGGTGTAAAACAATCCCAAAAGGTCGGTGTCCTAGTTTGTGATTTGGAAACTATGTACATTTGTATTTTGTATGGATAGAAGACCATTAATGTAAAGGAACTTGGCAACACAGCTGACCCTTACATTATTATGTATATAAAAACTATATTTTGGCGGTAATTTTCTCTTTAGCATATAGCTGTTTTTATTTTAATTCCTTTTTGCCTCTTAAATTCCTGGGTGGTTCTTATATTTTTGTTAGCATGTAGTACTTATGGATAGGGATGGCAACGAGGGCAAGTTTGGGCAGGTGTACCCTCCTCCGCCCTCGCAACCGTTTAAAAACTCGTCCCCTATCCCCGCCCAAAACCGCAAAAACGGAGAACTTACCATCCCATCCCCGCAACCATTTAATATTTTTATCTCAGCAGGTACCCGCCCTACCCCGTTTAAGACTATAATTTATTTATTGTTGAAATAGATTTGTTTTTTTTTTTTCTTTTTTTTTTTTCCCCTCATCTTCAGTTCTTTATCATTGCAACTTTCGGTCTAATTAAATTCATTTGTTACTTTAATATTGTTATATAAGGTACTTAATATATATACTGGTAAATATATATACTAATGAAATAAGGGTACTTAAGTAATTTATCTATTTAAACGGGTGGGGCGGAGTGACCCTCCCCGCCCTCGTATCAAACACGTGCGGGTTTTTATTACATTAAACTATCCCCACCCAAATAAGCTAAACATTCTCCAAAACCATCAAAAACGGGGCAGGGCGGGGCATGGCGGGTAACAGCGGGAGCGGTTCAAATTGCCATCCCTACTTATGGAATTAGGTTTTGGTTCACTTTAAATTCCTAATGGGACACAAATTTTGTGTTTGAAAATTTTGGAATAAAAATGTGAAATAAATAATTGATTTTATTAATTTTAGAAATATAGTATAGTTCTCTCTAGTTGATTCTTGTGCAGGAAGAGTATCTTCTTTTGATTAATTCTTCTTGATGTTCGGTGCAAGGATTTAAGAAGGTTGATGTTTTTGTGTAGTTTCTCTCTAGGCTCTCTATTTGTGTCGAGTCTTGAGTGGTCATATATTTATAACTTTTCAATAATTGTGGTAAACTTTTTATTTTTATTTTTATTTACCTGACAAGGGAGGAAAGGGAGAGGAAGGGGTTAGTCAAACGTTGGCTATCTTCTTCTGATTAATTTTTCTTGATGTTCTGCGTAATTTCTCTCTAGACTCTCTATTTGTGTCAAGTCTTAAGTGACCATATATTTCCATATATTTATAACTTTTCAATAATTGTGGTAAACTTTTTATTTTTATTTACGCCGTAAGGATGGGGAGGGGAGGAGGGGGTGAGTTGTACCTGGGCTTTGACTCGACTCAGGAGACTGCCTCTACTAATTGGACTATCCAACTCATTCCGTGATAAACTTTCTCAAATAATAGATATTTGTCTCTTATTATTTGAAAACAAATTTAAATTTAAATATTATTTATAACTTTTTTATAAAAAAATTTCATCCTTAGATATTTCGACATGCGTCTGTTGATGAATTCACATTAATTAAGAAATTTTGAATTCTTAACACATGGGACAATGACTAAACCATCACAAAATTTTGATAGTGAGTTTTTTGAATTTTTATTTTTATCTACAAATTAATTGCCCGCGACAGCTTAGTGACATGTATCCTTGTTGAATAGTGAGTTTTTTTATTTATTTATTTTTTATTTTATGTTGTAACGGTCCCCATTATATGCAAAATAGTGAGCTTTAAATTTTTCATTTTATTTTATTTATTATTATTATTTTCTTTTTGATTTTATGACCCCATCAAATGCCAAATAGTGAGCTTTGAATTTTTTTTAAATTTATATTTATTATTTTTCATTTTGATTTGATGACCCCATCACATGCCAAATATGGCATGACCTTGTCCCATACTCAACTCATCATATATCCTTAATTATGACAAATCTGATAGTCAATCACCTTTCCTTTTCTTTTTTTTTCTTTTTTCTTTTTTTTTTTTAATTGTTTTTTGTTTTTTACTTTTTTTGCCTTTTATTGCATGGCTTAAAGATGTGACATGTTCCAATTTATGGAACCTGCATGCGCATCCTTGTGGTTCTAGTGGGGTGTTTGGGGCTGCCTCCCTATTGAATTTATGATTGCCAGTGCGCATGAGTGGCGACTACTATGGTGGGGACGCCTCAATATCTTCTGCTATTTCTTGTCTCTCCCTATCATTCATGTCATATCATGTCATATCATATATATATATATAGAATGATTTTAAAATATTAGAGGAGAAAATAAAGTTAAACCCTAGCCTTGATATACGTGGCCTCGCCATTGTATATGAAATGTCATAAATATTTACCATGCATAAACAATCAAGGAATTCCATTCCTTTTAGAGTTTGTATATGTATTCTCTGCAAGAAATAATGCTGGTGAAAATGGTATGATAGCCTCAGAGATAGAACAACATCCTTGATCACAAGTTATCGGAGATGGAGAAGAAAGAGCATGTATACTAATATTGAACGTTTTGAAGATGTTGAACGGATTATATTTTTTGAAAAGTAATATATATATATATATATATATATATATATATATATATATATGCTACCTTATATATATATTTTAGACGATAGAGTAAAGCAGAAGATGTACAAATGAGGATGAGGGAGTGCACCATTAATTGACGGCTGAGAAGGGACGAGGGAGAATATCTAAGATATTCTGGGAGAGTTCTAGAAGGTTCTAGAGCGTTCTGGAGGGTTCTAGTAACTGGGGATAGTTTTATAAATATCCAAGATATAGATCAACGTTTGTGCTCATGGCCGGTGTCGGATAGATAGGTATAAAAATTATAAATATCATATATATATATATATAAGATATTTTGAAAGAGAGATTTAGATATTTATAAAAATTAAAAATATCTAAGATATATAGAGGATATAGTTCAGAGTTTGTGCCAGAGAAAGTTGGTGTTTGTCCTTTGCCCTTGAATTGGCATAACTATAAAGTCAGTCTTTTGGGTTTGTATTGATCGGCTTCCTACAGTTTTGGGATAGTTTTTTTAGTCACCCATAATATACTAATACGTGTACGTACCATATCCAATGCATGAGTTATTAGGATGGAGACTACCACCCGACTTTTTTGAAAAGTTATTCTCTCCCTATGGAGATACTGATATTAGTACGTTTTGTTTTTTCTGTGCGGCATACAGAGTTACCATGGATCCTATTTGTAATTACTAAGAAGAGTAAATCACGTTACTAAACCATATTACCTGTTATTCTTTGCACAACTTTGGAATAAGTATTGTTTTTAAGCAACTAAACTCATTACTTACAGTGCAACTCGACAGAATCTGTACAGACTTATCTATCTTTTACATGATAAGATTAGTCTTGTACAATAGCTTTAAAAATTTAGAAGGCAAGTGGATAGTATAACATAATGGCTTAGGTTGACTAATAATACATTGGAAATTGAACTTTTTATTTTTTGATAAATAAGTGAGTTGTATAAAAAAAGAGAAAAAATTGTACAATATACAAGGGGTATGCCCCTAGAAAATTGAAGAATAAAAAAAATGGGCTGAAACAATTGCATATAAAAATTTGAATTTTTTATTTTTCGGTAAGTAAGTGAATTGTATAAAAAAGAGAAAAAACTGTACAATATACAAGGGGGTATACCTCTAGAAAATTGAAGAATAAATTAAAAAAAAACAAAAAAAAGGGCTGAAACAACTGCATATAAAAATAAACTCAAGCCCAATCCAAATAACACAAACTAACGCCCAAAACCAAAAGAGAAAGACCTGGCCCGAAAGACCTGGCCCAAAATTTGAACACCAAACTTACACTAGCTAAGAGACATTGTAGGATCATCAACATTCGAGAAAGCCTTGGTCCGATTTGTGGTAGAAATTGTGTAACTTCGGTGGAGACGTGTGTGTGAGTACCAACTAGAAAAAAAATGAAAAGAAAAGCTGAAGAATGGGTTTTGTTGGTCCAAGTATTCATGTATGGTTTGACTTTATAATGTCACAATATGGACTTAATATATTGTTTAATGTCAAAAGGTGAGCTCAAAGGTCCAATCTTGTAGTAGAAATTGATGTCTGATATCCACAAGGGCATTTTAGTCATTCTATAGAAGTCATTTGGAACCCATTTGAGATGGTACATTGTATCACGGACCTCTACCCTTGTTAATTCTGTTAGAATTCACACAGCTTCTGATCATCTATATTGATATATGTCCTATCAAGGGCATATATGTAATTCATGAAGACCACAGAGGTGCTTGGGTCATCCCAGTATGCCGAGAATGTATGTAATCCTCCTAGGAAGGTACATTGTGTCACAAGCTCACTTCACAAGCAAATTCAATGTTTTCTGGTGCACCATATGTAACTTTGATCACAGTCACATTCATGGGCACTTTAGTCTTTTCACACGTGTGTGACCATTTTATACTTGTCTTGAATACTACATTGTATTACAGAACTCAAAAATTCACTTTGATAAAGTGTTCTCAGACTACATCACAAATTTCTTGTATATGTGACAAGTGTCCTCTAGAGGGGCATTTTGGTCTTTCTGTGTATGTAGAGCACACGACTGACACGTGCAGTATATTTTGAGTTAGAGAATGTTGTTGGACTAATTTACAATCCTTTTGCAACAAGGATTTCAGTCTTCATTCTGCTAGAACTGGTATAAGTGTATATGCGCCATCAAAAAGTGTGTGCGCACTGGAGGACAAAACTGTGAGCTCTACAAGGACATTATGGTATTTTCACACAAGGAATGTGAGAATATTCCCTCATTAATGATTGGTAGATTGTGTCACTGATGCGTTCTCACGATCAATGAATATAGATGTGTATAATATGACAATTGAGAAACATCAATTTTAAATTTATAAAGCCACTACACAACTATATTTAACATATGGTGAGTATGGATCGAACACAGCGACTATAGGCTTGGATTAAAATTAACATTAATGAGCGTAAGATTGAAAAAATGATGATTTGTTTAAACTATTAATGCAGTTAACTTATATTACAAGTAATTAACTTACGTCTCAATTAAATTATATAAACTTCCTTAATCATGATTAAAATCAT